GGCAGGGGGCGCGGGGGGAGAAGGGGCGGGGGGGGAGCCGTGGGCAGGAGCCGGCAGCAAGGCTGTGCCTGGTGACTGCCAGAAGGGGAACGGCCACAGCCCCTGCTCTGCCCGGACTCTGTGCCCCTGTCCCCAGACCCACCCCGTGCTGCGGAGCCCCTCGTTTGCTGGCTGCCTTTCCCAGGGGAGAATCAAAGAATCATAGAATCGTTAAGGTCGGAAAGAACCTCTGAGATCATCGAGTCCAACCGTTCACCGAACTGCCTGGTCCACCTCTAAACCCTGTCCCCAAGCGCCACATCCACACGTTTTTTGATCACTTATAGAATCACAGAATCGTTTAGGTTGGAAAAGCCCCTTAAGATCTTTGAGTCCAACCGTTACCCCAGCACTGCCAAGGCCACCACTAAACCATGTCCCTAAGCACCACATCTCCCCGGCTTTTAAATCCCTCCAGGGATGGGGACTCAGCCCCTGCCCTGGGCAGCCTGGGCCAGGGCCTGACAGCCCTTTGGGGGAAGGAGTTTTTCCTAATACCCAACCCAAACCTGCCCTGGCGCAGCTTGAGGCCGTTCCCTCTCGTCCCATCGCTTGTTCCTGGGGAGAAGAGACCGACCCCCCCGGCTCCAGCCTCCTTTCAGGCAGTTGCAGAGAGCGATGAGGGCTCCCCTCAGCCTCCTCTTCTCCAGGCTGAGCCCCCCCAGCTCCCCCAGCCGCTCCTCCCCAGCCTTGGGCTCCAGCCCCTGCCCCAGCCTCGCTGCCCTGCTCTGGCCACGCTCCAGCCCCTCCATGGCCGCCTTGGGGTGAGGGGCCCAGCGCTGAGCACAGCATTCGAGGGGCGGCCTCACCAGTGCCCAGCACAGGGGCACCATCCCTTCCAGGGACTGTGATTGTGGGGCGTCCCCTCTGAGAGCCTCCTCCCCAGGAGCCCCCGCTGCGGGGTGCGGGGAGGGCCCTGCCATGCCGCGGGGTCAGCCCTTCCCCAGCCGCAGACCACGCGCTGCTCCCGGGAGGTGACAGCCCTGTCCTGGGAAAGCGTCTCCCCTCTCTGCCCGTCTCCCCAGGGAAGCCGCAGGCGGGGAGCGGGGTCGTGGGGGGCTCGCTGCAGCCATCCTGGGGGTGCAGCCCCACCAGCACCTTCTGGTAGTCCCCGAGCCCTGTGGGGCTGGGAAGGGGCACCCACCCCTGACCAGGGACCCGGTGCGGAGCACCGCGGGAGGCCGGTGGGACGGGAGCTGGTGCGGACATTGCCTGTTGGTGGTGGAAGGACGGGTGGTGGCTGCCCGGTGTCCTGCTGCTGCCCTGGTGCTGTCCCGCAGGATGGGCAGCGCCCTACAGGCAGCTGCTGCCTGCAGCTGGGAATGGATCAAAAACCCCCCCGGG